GCTGGTGTGGGGTGAAAATCCTCCACCTCAGACCGTTCAGATATGTAACTATCTGCGATACTGTGGTCACTCTCCATGTAGCATCAATTATGCTAATGCAGCTGCCTGTCACGTTCTCTCGTCCTGGCCACACCTCCGCTCTCTAACCCCGCCTCCCCTACCCACAGCCCCTCCCCTACCCACTTTGATGCATTTTTCAAATTTTGCCTTGGGGCGGAGTTATCTTTTCACAGGGGGCTGGGTAAGATACACTTTAAAATCTAAAATAAGTCTGACATTCTGCCCTTGTTGGAAGCTTGGAGAGTAGAAACGGCGTGCGTCCTGTTAGATAAACACAAAGCAGCGCTCGGTGAACGTGGTGAGTTGTGAAGAGGAACAGTTGACAGAATAAATTTCTGTTCCACCTCAGAGAGCCTCCTGTGGCTTCAGGAGATGAACACATCTTCACGCTCTGATGTTTAATCCTAAAGGTGGACAAACATCTGGAGGCTGCGTGTAGAGACTGATAAACTTGTGTCTTTGATTTGCCCTGCAGCCATCTATCTGTGCAAGCGCACCATGCAGAATAAGACCAGGCTGGAGCTGGCAGATTATGAGGCGGTGAGTTCTGCACCTCTGATCTTACAGATGTTTCTCAGAAATTATCTCCGCTCCAAAACATGGGATTTGGTTAAAAACCTGATTTTATCAAAGTGCCTCTCATATCACGTTTGTTTTTTTGCTTTTTGAACAGGAGAACTTGGCGAGGCTACAGAGAGCTTTTGCAAGGAAGTGGGAGTTTATCTACATGCAGGCTGAAGCCCAGGTCAAGTAAGTGTGATCTGTTGCTGTGGCAACATGTGAAACTTGAGTGCATCCAGTAATATTCATAACGAGGGTTAGAGACAAGAAATGTGGTAAAATCTCAAGTTTTCAGCCAAATATTTTAATGTTACTTAAAAAAACACGGAGGTTTTCACTGCAAGGTACATTTGACTCACCTAACCTTTAAAGCAGGGGGGGTCACACTCATTTTCACTGATTTACACGAGCTTTATGGTGGTCCTCAAAGCTCCAGCTGGGATTACCTTTCATGTTTTGTGTTAAACTTCAAGTAAACATGATGTTGTGTTCTTATTTATAAGAATAAATAAGCTGTACGTGGTATTTCCTGCATAGAAACAGCGTTTTAACACATCCTTTTAAATACACTTACAAATTTTATGTGTACGACTGACTAAATGTGAAATAAAAATGACAGAAATACTATTAAAAGAGAGAGTTTTACTACTGAGTTGTGGTGAGTAGCTGCCGATTTGAATTCTGAACTCTCCCACTTTCCCACAGGGAATTCCCATATATAATCAACATGCATTATGGGAGGTGTAGTTTACAGTCAAAGCTGGTCAGCTAAATTGCTCAGGGGGCCACGAGTACTTTCACCTTTTAAATTTTTTATTCATTTTTATATTTTATTTTTTTAGCCACTTCAGTAGAAAGCAAAACTTAATATTAGTTTCTTAGTTTCTTCATCATCAGTGACTTTTTTTAAGAAGAAAAATAAGAGGAGAAAAAAGTGAACTTTAATGGGAAAGAGTGAAAGAGAGATTAGAAGATATGTGAAATATATATCGAGAAAACACAAAACGACACACCTGACATTTTGACTGCACAACTACAGAAACAGATAACAAAAACACAGCAATGAAAATGCAATATGTATAAAATTATGATTATTACCTTGCTGAAATCACCTTTTTAAATTTGATAAAATTTAGGATTCAGTGCAACAAGATAAAGTTTACAATTGACATTAAATGTATTTTTCTATTTGATTAAGTAAAAATATAAATGATTAAAAAGTTGGTGGGCCACATTTGGCCCATGGACCTTGAGTTTGATTTATTCCTTCAATGCTTAAATGCTTTTTTTAATCACTTCAGTAGAAAAAAAGAACTTAATATTAGTTTCTTTATTTCTTCTTCTTTTTTCTTTTTTTTCTAATTCATGGTTTCAACTGAAGTCATGATTTTTTCATTATTTTTTCATTTTTATTTAAAGTAACTAAAACCTTGAGTTTTATTCAGAATATTTAGCACCAACATAAAGTATCTAATCTGCACCTTTTTTTTCTTAATTTTCTTCATCATCAATGATTTATTTTCATAAACGCTTAAATGATTTTCTACAGTGTGTTTTAATATTGTAGTTTTTCAGTGTGCAGTATGTTAAGTGTCGGTATGTGCAGTAAAGTTTAACTGCAGCTTTTCAAAGATCCAGTCATCAGACTGTCCTTCAGTCATGATGACAGAAACACAAACGGTTTCCTGACTGCAGCTGATCTCACCTGCAGGATCGACAGGAAGAAGGATAAAACTGAGAGGAAGATCCTAGACAGCCAGGAGAGAGCCTTCTGGGACGTCCACAGACCCGTGGTAACTCCACCCGCTTCAGCTTTCACACACCGTTCACAGTTTCCTGCAGGAAAACATTAACTGAATAGTTTTTATTTGTCTTTCCTCTCAGCCTGGATGTGTGAACACCACAGAGATGGACATCAGGAAGTGTAGACGTATGAAGAATCCTCATCGGGTTAAAAAGGTGAGCAGAGTTTAAAAGGGTTTTAAATGCTTTTAATACGATGTAAAACAGGTTTATACGATGCAACAGTTTTTAACTCTTAAATTAAACATGTTTCTGTTCTTCTGTTGTAACGGCTCAGTCAGTTTATGGTTTGGTGGAGGATGGAAGCCAGGCTCAGAGTCCCGTCCACTCCTCCTCACAGCACTGCAGGAAAGGAACCAAAGAAGATGTGCAGAAAGAGGTAAGAATCTGTCCACAGGTTCTGAAGGTTTGGACTTTGTGTTTGACTCTTGAAGGCTCTGATTTCACAGCTCGTTGCAGAGGCAGCTGTGTTTATGTGCTGGTCAACTCCAAGAAAAGAAAAGAACCAAAAGCTGACGGTTGCTTTCTGAAACAAACTGGTCTGAGTTCTGTGAAGCAGCTGCTGCAGATGTTTGTTGGTTCTAGTTATCCTCAGGCATTTATTTTCTACATCAGAAAAAAACAATCATTTGAATCTTACTCAGACATTTTTTGAATCGTTTCATTAAAAAGCAGAAATAAAGCAGTTTGAATCTTTTCGTTTCCTCCTCAGATCTTATTCCTGAGCACCCAGCTGGATCGTCACTGCCTGAAGATGTCCAAAGTTGCTGACAGCCTCATCACCTACACTGAGCAGTATCTGGACTACGACCCGTTTTTGACAGCACCAGAACCGTGCAATCCCTGGACCAGCGACGACCCGACCTTCTGGGACCTGGAGTCCAGGTACCAGACCAGTAGACTCGTTCCTACCTCCACGTCCTGTTAGACAAGAGGCTCATTATGGCTGCATATTTCTGTGGAAACAAAACCTTTTCTGTTCTTTTATTGTGATTATTTTGGGAATTACACGTTACCTGTTGGAGCGTAAACTGGACCAGAACAAACTCCAAACAGAGCAGGAGAGAAGATCTGTGGAACATCTGTGTTTCTGGGCCGTTTGTGTCACTTTATCCCAAATACTTTCTGCTACAGAGACATTTAACGCTTCATCTGATGGTCGACCAGAACCTGCTGAAATGTTTTCAACCAACTTATTAAACAATATTTAAACAATATTTCAGCTTTATTTTATGTAGAAACAAAGCAGAATGAAGGGGAAGTTGTGTGGATTTACCTGAAGTTGGGTTTGTTTCATTGGAGAGAACTTGTAAAGATACCAACAGGTCAGAATGCTCCTTTATTTCATCCTAATCAATGAAACCATCTGTTGGACATCAGCACCGTCGTGTGACGTTATCAATGAGCTGTTGGTGCAGACGTTAACTGGAGCTGACACATAATCATTGAGCCTAATGCAGCTTAACGATTCATCAGAACTGATTCGTTGCAAGAAAGGAGAAAATCTCCCCTGAAGGAATCCAAACCGTGAGATCTTAGATCAGGGGTCTACAACCTTAACAATCAAATGAGCCATCTCTGCTCCTAGTCTCACTAATAAAATGTGTCCAGAGCCACAAAACAAGCCACAACTGTGATTATCAACTGGTGGTCCGCGGGCCTTTTCAAGGCCTTTTCAGGAACCTTGACGGTCAGTGGAGGTGACATCATAAAACTAAAAAATATTGCTGTTATTATAATATTATTTATTATTATTATACACACCAGGACAAATAAAAAGACCATATTCATGCAAACAAGAAAAATACTGGAAATTGTTTATATCAATTTTCATAAAAACTAATACAACTGAATTATTCAGGCTTTTTTTTCCTTTCTAATTCTTATTATTATTGTCTTCAAATCCTTTAAAGGTAATTCTGATGATTTGAGAAAAATAAGTTGTTTTATTTAAGTAAACAACAGGCTAGCATGAGCTAACATGTTTTACTTTTTATGAGTAGTATTAATCACATGTGGCATACAAATTAATTTCTGTTGTGGGTACAAAAACAAAACAAAAAATAACTATTTATTTTGTTATGATTGGTCACATTTTTAAAGAGCCACTGCAGAGGGACCAAAGAGCCACATGTGGCCCCAGAGCCGCAGGTTGCAGACCCCTGTCTTAGATGAATGTTGCCATAAAATGTAACATCAGATCATTCGTTTTTTGATGCGTCAAAAATGAACCCGATGCGTCTCTCTCTCCGTTATTTCCATCTCTTCCAGTAAGGAGGCCAGTCAGCCGAGGGTGAAGAAGTGGGGGTTTTCCCTGGAGGAGGCCCTGAAGGACCCGACTGGACAAGATCTCTTTCTCAAGTTTCTAGAGTCGGAGTTCAGCTCTGAGAACCTGAGGTGGGCACCACGTTCCAGTTTTATGCATTATACATTAAAATCAAAGCTTTAAAGGAGACATGATGCTTTTAAATCCTTCACTCGGGTCTATATAAAGAGGAACTACAAGGCTTTGATCTGAACTCTTCCTTATTGTAACTCCGCAAGCCCCGCCCCTTTTCTGAGCTGTGTCTCAGATCAACTCGTTTTGAGGCTGTCTCTCTAAAATAAAAATGTGTGAGCAAAACTTGCCTCAAGCGTTCAAACTAGGATTTAAATGAAATAAAATTCATAATTATTTTATATTTAAACTCATGATTATCCAATAGATCAGAACAGTTCAACGTCTAAATAAAAGAAATGGGTGACATTTTGAGAAAAAAAGAACTCTTGGCCTCACATTTCTTGTTTCAGTCATTCATATCAGACCAAGTGTTTGATTAAAGTGAGAAGCAGGGACCTTTAAAGCTGAAGGGTGACGGGGTCAGACACATAAAAAGCAGCCCTGCAGACTCACACACAACCTTTATTATAAACCTGCTGCTGACAGCAAGTTTATAAAGAAAATAAATCTGTTCAGGAGAACAGCTCCACTTCAACCTTTCAAAACTTCCACTGTTCTGAAAATAACCCAAAATATGAAACTTGTTTTTGGCATCCTTCTTGCTCCAACCTACAATTTGAACCCACTTGCACACCGAAGGAAAATGAAATGAAGTGAAGTTGTGCCAGTTTCCAGTTACCTAGGAACCTTAAAACACAAAGAAAACTCAAAGATAATGATGATGACTCATCTAAATCCACATCCAACTGCAGCAAACACTGTGCACCATCTGCTTTTTCTTTTGGAACTTTCTTTTCTAATATCTGCTTTTAAAGATTTGCAAAAAAAATCAATAAATAAAACAGAAATAATAAATTGTGGACCATTTGGGCATTTAGATTCAAACAAAAGCCTGTTTGTGCACGGAGCAGCAATAGGTGGATGTTTTAATGTGAATTACAGAGAAGTGTGTTTGGGGGTGGCAGACTACAGATGAAGCCCTCCACTGGAGGTTGCTGATCCCCCTTAGGTAGATAAAACCTGCAGAAATGCGCACACAGCGAGACACAGAGCGAGGTATACCACTGTTCATCCTCTGCTCGTCCCTCCAGACTCCTCCCTCCCATCTCCAGACCTTTAATTGGGTTTTATGAAGGAGATTTTTGGAGAACTGCTGCAGAAATATGGAGTGAGAGAGAAGAGCAAACCACAGAGTTGCATATACAACACACACACACACACACACACACACACACACACACACACACACAC